ACAGAGCCTTCTGTGATCATCCTGCTAACAACCCATCCCCATCTGAGCACCAAAATCCCCCTTATTCTCTTCTATTTTCTCTAAAGCAACTATGATTCTCCAATGGTTTATAACTCATTTATAACTTACATAAGTTATACTCATCGTGTTTACCTTGTTTCTGTCCTCTCCCTCCTTCACTACCACTAGAATATGACATGAAGTCAGTGATTTTTTTTGTTTGTTTATTGGTGTACCCTAAGCCCCGGTAAGCCTGGGAGATAATAAGCACTCAAAAAATATTTGGTGACTGAATGAATTAACGATGCGGGGGGAAAACATATAGAGTACAAGCCACCTAGCACAAGGCAGGGAACACAGGCTGAGATTCTCAGGATTTTTGTGCACTTTTCCTCTTCATACTTGTTTCATGAGTCCAGTTCCTATATCTCCTTTCTTCCCCATCCAGACCATTTGCAGTCCTCTTCATTCCTTCTTCTTCTTCTTTTTTTAAAAAGATTTTATTTATTTATTCATGAGAGACACAGACAGAGAGAGAGGCAGAGACACAGGCAGAGGGAGAAGCAGGCTCCATGCGGGGGGCCGGACGTGGGACTCAATCCCAAGTCTCCAGGATCATGCCCTGGGCTGAAGGTGGCGCTAAACCACTGAGCCACCTGGGCTGCCCCTCTTCATTCCTTCTTAACCTGTTCTCACCCATCCCTATGATGATGTAAACATGAGACAAACATGTTTCTTGGGTGGAATTGTCTGACAGAGAGGGGCAATTTTGAGTCTATGTTAGCCATGCCCTGGGAAATAAATTATGCATGCAACCGCTAGATGAGCTTTCTCTTTTTTTTTTTTTTGTTTTGTTTTGTTTTTGTTTTTGTTTTTTAGATGAGCTTTCTCAAACCCCAGGAGTTGTATTTATTAAGTAAAGCTTATTAAAAGGCTGCATTTGCATTGAGGACACGAGGGCATCATTGAGAAAATATTTTGAATCATTGAATAACATTTTATTTTCTGGGGGATATAAAAATGACCTCTTTTTATTTATTTATTTTTATTTAAATTCAACTAATTAACATCTAGTGTATTATCAGTTTCAGAGGTAGAGTTCACTGATTCATCAGTCTCTGCTTTCTTAATATTTAGCACTGGGTTGTTGCCTCGCAAGATAATATGTAATTTTGGTCATTCTTCCAAAGATAGATATTTGCTTCTCTAATAGCAGATTTGCATCCCACTGCTGTTCTGTGCCTGTGAACACATTAACTTTTATTTCATTGCTGAATCACAGTGCAATCTTTCTAAAATGTTTGAACAGCAGTTAGACTCACACATGTAGTAACAGCCCTGCACACAGTTCCAAGTAGGGACAAGATTGGAAGGGACTACTGTCCCAGGGCCTAACTTGGGGATGTAATTATAAGACTTTATGGATCATAAAACACTTCGTGATTTCAGAGATATTAAAATGTGTGTGGGGAGGAACCAAACTACAGATGTCTCTTCGAGTCAATGAAGTGGTTTAGCAATTAGGAATTTAGGAATTTAGGAATCCCAACTGAGTTTTCTTTTTTAACTCCTACAGAAGAGCACAAAGTTGCATCACAGAGATCTCCAAGTGAGCTGTAATTCTCTGCCTGAGACTCATTTTGCTCATTGAATATGCCTGACCATCAGAGACAGCAGCTAGCATCCGTTTGGACGTGTGGGGGTGAAACTGAATTTTAAGGGAAATGGCTGCCTTGGCGGCATTTGGGAACTGGGGTAGCCAAGTGCGCTTTGGGCAAATCAATTGTTTTAATGTTCTCCTGGACGTTATGTAAGAGTGACAGCCCATAAAATATCCACTTAACATCTTAGTCTGCTTTCTGGATGGGTGTGGGGTAAACTGAATTCCTCATGCCCGCATGCTCTTCAAAATATTGTCAGGTTATTGATCATCTCTCAGTTTTCTCACTTCCTTCAACCATTTCCCCAACCTCTGAAAGCTTGTGATAAACTTTAACATTATTCAGAGTATTGCACATGCATTTTGCTATGGTCTGAATGTTCCTAACTCCCCCTCCTCAGATTTATATGTTGAAACCTAAACCCCAAGGTGATGGTCTTAGGTGGGGCCTTTGAGAGATGTTTAGGTCATGAGGGCAGAGTCCTCATGAATGGGATTGTTGCCTTTATAAAGGAGGATCCAGAGAGATCCCTTCTGCCACACAAGGACACAGTGAGAGGTTGGCTGTCCATAACCCAGAAGAGTATCTTCACCAGATAGTGACCATACTGACATGTGGATCTTAGATTTCCTAACCTTCAGACCTGTGAGAAATAAATTGCTATTGCTTCTAAGCTATCCAGTCAGTCGTATTTTGATATAGTGCCTGGACAGACTGAGACACATTTGTTATTTGAAAAATAATAATGCAATAGTAACTATTTCCAGAGTGCCTCTGTAGCTGCCATTGTGCCAAGCATTTTACTTATATTACCCTATTTGTTGCTCATAAGAGCCCTCTGATTATTGTACTGTTTAATGATGACAAAAACTGAAGCTCAGAGAGGATTAGTAACTTTCCCACGCTATACAACTAGCAGCGTAGTGAGATCTGAGTTTCAAAACCAAATTTCCTTGTAATTAATAGCCATTTTTATAAATTTCTGTATAAGGGACTTGTGAAAGTGATATAATAAAAATACATCCAGATGAGCAGAGACTTTATTTCAAACTGGTGCCCCAAGGACATTATGTACTTTTCTAATGGTTCTTCTGTTATTTGGGACACTTTGGGAACCCTCTTTTGGAATTGTCTTTTGGACCTGTATTTTAAATATCTTTTACATTAATCATTATTCATCTTTTGAGGTCAGACTGTATGAAGGGCCCTAATGAGGCAAATCTGTCAACTAAGGTGTAGGATGATTATGATCAATAGGGTGATATAGTTTTCAGTCATAAGGAAATGACTAGTTTTCTTGATTCAGTTGTAAACCAAAGCAGAGGCACCCTTGGACGTGTATGATCTTCCTTGGGTCATGACAGTTTGAGAGACAGAAGACATTTATGTAAATGCAACTAGCAGGAGTTAAAAAATAGAACACACGTTGACTTCATTTATCATTATCAGCAATTTGAGTCACACTTACGTTTTGTTGGTATACACCAGGGACCTCAAATTAGCTGCCCGAGGCAGTGTACAGCTCCTGGAGGTATTTTGTGTGGTCTTTTCAGAGCACCCACACAGTGTGTTAATAGGCTATACAATTAGGCAGATTTTAGACTTGGTGGCAAAATAAACAATTTAGATTCAATTGTCTTATATCCACCCACCCAGGGTGTTCATCTTAATCTCCCACCCCCTGAAGGCATTTGGGCTTTTGACCCCTAGTGTTCACATTCTTTTGTCGAAAGGAATTTGGAATAATCGGCATTACTCAGCTCAGAAACAAAAACAAAAAACCAAAACCCAACAACCTTCGGGTACTTCACGTCTCAGTTCAAACTTAAAACTTAAGCTACTCCCAGCTAAAAATAATTCCTCCTTTTTCCTGAATTTTTATAAAATTTCAGGAACTCCCCTTTGCACTCCCAACAAGCTGTCTTCTGCTGTAGCTCTTTGTGGAATAGCTCTCCTCTTGCTTCGGAGGGTGCTGCTTTATCAGCAGAGGTGGTCCTGTGGAGATGAGCCTCCGGCTCTTTCAGATCTACTCACTTTATGAAAAAGCAAAAAATATTCCCACTGTTTGGACCTTTCCCTCATACTCTCTCCTTGCCCCTTTGCTAGCCTGGTTGTCTTGATGTAGACGCTAGTCCTGGATTTTGATGCCTCTTACTGACTCTGCCTAGCTCTGAGGAATCACTTGCTCATGAGCAGACTCCTAGTATTGCTTCACCCAGGTACTACGTTGACTCTCTGTGTGCTGGGCTTTGGTGTGCCTGCCTCTGCTTCTCATTATATGATTCTGGGCTACGTCCACTTCTTGGGGCTGCTTCTTCAAATGAACCACACCCACCATAAGAAGAACTGAACTTAGGACAGGACTCCATGGAGCATAGCCCTTTAGTATCTAGCACTGGTCTTTGTCTAGGCAGATTCTTGACAGAAATTTGTTGACAGGATAAATTAAAACACAACACAGTTACAGTAGCATTTCATGATGTGGAAAGGGAAGTATTTGGATATGCTTTTTTAGATGAGGAGCCAGGGTAGGTGCTGAGGATTCAGAGATGGAATGTTGGGGTTTCTTTCCTCAAGAAATGTGCAAGCGACTCAAAGTCTAGAGCTAGAGGGGGAGTCTGGGTGGTCCTTTTGGACAGAGATGATAGAGATCTACTAAACTGTGGGCCTTAATCCCAGGTCCTGTGCCAAACAAATCTTGAATATGTTACGGGAGTTATAATTTCTGAACTGGGAAGAATCTTGAGAAAAATTGCAAAAGTCTTCCCTTGGGTCTTGTGCTGGCTGAAGAATGGTGGCCCATGAGGGAGAGCCAGGTGAAGGGCTTGGCAAGGGAGAAGTGTAAAACCCGTATGAGATCATGTGCAGGTTTCCCAGGGCTGTCCATTCTACCTTTGGTTAACTTGGGGGGTGGATATTGGTTAGAAAAGAGATTTTTTTTTTTCCATATGGGAATTTAGAAACAGTCACACAGCCTCCTGGAGATTAGTCTCTTTTACTGGGTTGGCATGAGTTTTAAAATAAGGAATCTGTTGTGGTATGCAACTGAAGTTCTGACTCTTTTTGAATACGGGGCCTCAGCTTTACCAGTAAGCTTGAGCTTTTTCTTAATGTCACTGACGGTGTGGTCAAAGCTGTTTTGGTTATGAAGCAAACTCTTAAAAAAATAGAACAACCAAAGTGATCTTCCTCTATATAAACTGTAAGTTATCTATTACAGCATCTCGTTGGAGAGGTGGCCTTGAGAGCTCAAGTAAGTAGGTTATCCGATCATCTAACCAGCACAAGAGACTCTCTGGCTGCCACCAGTGACACGAGCCCAGAGTGGGGTGGAGGGAAATGCAGGTGAACTGCATTTTGAGGTCTGCGGTGCTGTTTGCCACTCTGTCTCTTGCCATTGCCAAGCACAAGCAGTCTTCCTCCGCAAAAGGTTGCTACCCAAGGGGGACACTGTCCCAAGCCGTTGACACACTGTACGTCAAGGCAGCGTGGCTCAAGGCAACAATTCCAGTAAGTATTAGGCACTCTGCTTCAAATGAAGGTTTAAAGGACATGTGTACTTCTGGGTGAAACTTCTTTCTCTTTGTTTTATTGTAGGAAGACCGCATTAAAAATATACGATTGTTAAGAAAGAAAACAAAAAACCTATTTATGGTAAGCCAGAGGGTTTTTAAAAATCTTTTTTTTTCATGTTTTCTACTTGTTTGATGCTTTCTCCCCTGCATTTTAATTCTTCCAGATGGCCGTCGAGTAATAATCAGGGGGGTGGTTCCAGTGACATTTCACAAAAGCTCTTCAGCCTTTACCTTATGCAATTTCTTGTGTGTCACTTACAGAAAAACTGCAGATTCCAAGAGCAGCTTCTGTCCTTCTTCATGGAAGATGTTTTTGGTCAACTCCAGTTAAAGGTCTGCAGGGAAATACGTTTTGTGGAAGAGCTTCATAGCCTCAGGCAGCAGCTGAGCCGTTGTGTAAGTATGCCCAGCAAATACGGTGACTTTGAGCTCAGAAACCTACCTAGAAACCAGCATGTGGGAATCTTTCTCCATATCGAAGGGTGAGAAAAAGGCTTTCGAACTGTTGGCTTGTGGTCCAAATGGAGAGCTTATCATCAGTGAACCAGCACTGAACAAGCATTAGAACTCATAAAGCCACTATGCTTATTATTTCTTACAGAACAGCACCTAAGACATACTGAAGATCTAAAATAACATGGAACGATCCTCAATGTTCATTTAGCTCCTTATCATTCCCTCTATATATGATTCCCAAGCCATCTGTTCTATTATTTATTAAATAATAAATAATAAATTAAATACAAATAATCAATAATAAAATTAAATATTGCCTAATATTTCTCAAGGCAATATTTCTCAAGCTTGCCAAACATTATTCTAGTCTGCCTTTTTTTTTCTCTCTCTCTCTCTCCTTCTCTCTTTCTTCCCCATATTCATGAGGAGGGCTTTTAGATTACTTTTTTCTCAGCTATTTATCCAATTTTTTAATAGTTACGTCCTTTTTAAGGCATAGTCTTAGTCAAAGCTTTAAAAAGTGTGCTATGTCTTCTTTGGTACTTAAATTACGTGATGCTGGAGTACGGTCATGGTCACCAGGAGCAATGGGGAATTAATCAGGAAGGTAAAAGTGACCACATTTCTCTATAAACGTCCACAGTCATAGTGACCAGCGCAGAAAAATGACACAAAAAACCCTCGAACCATTAGGCCAGGATGCCTGCAGTATTAGTTGACTTGCCTCTGTGGGGAATGGCAAATCTTTTCTGTGATCCTGTTTGGGTTCCAAGTACACCTTCTCAGCCTCTTGTGACTGTACCTTGCAGAGGTGCAAAGGCAGAGGGAGCAGTGACGACAACGCCAGTCCTTGGGTTGCCAGATGGGAATGAGCTCTCTACTCTGGGGTATTATGGTCATTGAGACTTAAACGCTGAGCAGTTGGAGGTTGATTTTTATTTCTTAAGAGCTCGGATGTCTTTTCCTTGTGGTCCATAAAAGGGCCCAGGATCTCAAGTTGTGGACCATAGCACAGAGGCATTTTATGTGGGTGAGCTGGTCAGCCAGGTGAAAAATTTCAGTGCATTTGCCTTCTCCTTTTCTTTGGTTAGTTTGCATTTATGTCCTTATTTGAGTTGGGTTGTACGGTGGTTCATAAACCCTCGCATTCCATTCAAATAAGCACAATGATAAGAATTACAAACTGGTATCTCTGTAGAAGGAGAGAGAATGCTCTGGGCAGTTCCCTTGTCTAAACCAGGGGAAAGAAACTCACTTCTCTCTGGCTTTTTCTCTACTTGACCTCTGTGTTCATCTTATTAAGACAGTGAAATAGTATAAACAGTCTCTTAAATTTAGCCGAATCATCATACAATTTTACATTTCATTCCCCTCCCCCCCACACCTGGTTAAGTATTATTATCCCCAGTAAGAGCATTTTCACTGCTGAAAAATTTAAAAAGGAGGAGACTATGCCTTGAAGGACTCGGGGAAATAATGAACAGTAGGCAGTCACCAAAGGCTAGAGCAAGGCTAAAGGAACAAGGGGGTTGCTCCCATTTCAGGGTCTGGTGACAGGGGTCCTTTTCGGCCTGGTTTTGTTTGTTTGTTTTTGTTGGTTTGCCAGAGAGAGAGAAAGTACAAAGCAGAGGGGAGGGGCAGAGGCCGAGGGAGAAGCCGACTCCCCGCTGAACAGGAAGCACCAACGGGGCCTGGATCCCAGCACCCAGGACCTGAGCTGGATGAAGACACAAGCTTTAATGGGCTGAGCCACCCAGGCGCCCCTGTTTTAAATGCCTTCTGTTTCTATTTTTTTGTTTTGTTTTGTGTTGACCTGGTTCCCCTGTGTAGGTGCTGTTCATTGCATTAGCCATCCGATTCGATTTAAAGTTATTTCAAATGAAGTTGTTAAGGACGATGAGGCACTAGAACAAATCCTGGCCTGATACTGTGCAGTGTGTCTGGACACCCGAGGCCCTAGAGCCGTGTCTGTCTCCCCCATCAGTTGGGTTTCCTCCGCTCACATAGCTGGAGAACACACAATGACAGCTGTAACCAAAACCGAGCAGTGTTCTAGACGAAACACTTAGAAGACATACAACCAGCTAGGGCCTCTGGTTTGCCTTGATTTGGTTTTGGAGGGTTGGTTTTTTTTTTTAATTTTAATTTTAATTTTAATTATTTTTTTCCTGAAGAGTCCTGTCATTAAAGACACTGCCAATAGAGACACTTGTTTCAGGGACATGGGCCACCCAGCCCAAGGGGTGGTGCCCAAGGGCGCAGAGGGGCAGCCCTCCAGCGGGTCTGGTGGCTGGCACCCCCTAGTGGCCGCATCCCAGCACACACCCAGCGAACCTCCCCAAATGCCAGCTCCTTCAGGGCTCCCCTTCTTACCTTCTTCTCCCCAAAGCTAACCATTGCTAGCTCCAGTTAGTGTGTCTCACAAACTGTAGAATTTATGCCCTGGGGTATAACAACCACTTCTGTGAAGACTCAAAAAAAAAAAATCAGAGGATTAGCCTGAGCTTTGGAAAGCCTTCTCAGACACACCCTTTAGGGAAATTAGTGCTGGGCTCGCATTTGATCTTTTGGCCAATCATAATTGTGTATTTTTGATAACAGAAGCTGGTACCTGTTTAATGTAAATTTACCGAGCACCCTGCTCTAGTCAGTGAATGATTTCTTCTTACGAATATATCCTTCTCCCGAATAAGAAGGGAAGTGAAACACGCAACACTGAACTCTCCCGAAGATGGTGTCAACACAAATAAATGGAAACCCAATCAACTGAAACTAAGTGGTTAAAAGAAACAAGTCAGTTTTGTAAATTGGCTTTCTTTTTTAAATTTTTCCAAACTGGCTTGCAGCAGGGTGGCCTGCTTCTATATTTTCCTGGGTGAGACAGGCCAGTGTGGTTTGGTCCCTGCTTCTACTCTTACTGGCAAAGAGATGTAACCCGAGAAGGCCAAGGAATCATGAAATGTGACATGTGTGATGCCCAATTTCCCGTGTGACGAAGTCACTGTAGAAGCACCAGGAAGGAAGTAGTTAATTCTATCTGCCTTGGGGTGTGGAGGGCAAGATGTGTTATTGAAGGGGACCATGGCTGAATTTAATTTCCCAGGGAGTAAGGGGGTAGCAATGGCAGGGGAGAAGCTTGATCAAGGCTTGGTGGCATGAAACCACACACCATATTCAGGAAAATCGAGTGTGAATGGGAATTGGCTTGGGGAATGTGAAGAGGAGGCTGTGTGGTTAGATTTTAACCGGGAGGTGCTGGTAAGGGCCTGGTCAAGCAAGGCATGATACCAGTGGCCAAGGATAAAGACTGTATCCTGAAGAGCATGCAAAGCCACCGAAGGGCATGGCGTGATCAAGAACTCTGTTTCAGAAAGATCTCTTTGGTGAGGGTGGAGGGGTGCATGTGGGGGGTTAGGCTCGAGGGAGAAAAAGCAATGGGAAGAGCATTGCAGTAATGTGCCTGGAGTACAGTGCTGGGGCCCTAGTGTCACAGGGAAGGGCAAGAAGAGTCTGCAGAAGACAGTGGAGTCTGCGATGAGCCTAAGGTTCTTACTTGGGGGTTGGGGAGAGGGGTTCATGAACAGTGTAGAAGGAAGAAGCTTGGAGGAAGGTCGATATGTTGCTTTAGACTTGCCGGAAGTTTCATGAGTCCCATGCATCAGTGTAATCATGAGTAGTATGTACATTTTCCATATATATTTTGTGTATGTTTAGTATTTATGATGTATCTGTTAACAGATTTACTGAGAAACAGTTGATACACAGGTAACTGAACATTTAAAATATATAATTTGGTAGTTTTGACGTACATGCACACTTCTGGAGCCATCTCCACAGTTAAGGTAAGGAGCCTATCCATCACCCCCAAGAGTTTCTTTGTGCCCCTTTGTGATGCCCTCCCTCTCTGGCCCTGTCCCTCTGTCTCCAGGGAACCACGATTAGCTTTTTGTCACCATAGAGTTGTTTGCATATCCTAGACTTTAATGGAAAGGGTGTATGTGTCATACTCTTTTGTGTCTTTTTTTTCTTCCCCGCATAATTATTTTGAGATTCACCCATGTTATCGAGTGTACCAATAATTTATGCCTTTTTTCTTGCCCAGTAGTATTCCACTGTAATGATCTACTACAATTTCTGTATCTATTCGCCTATTGCTGGTTATTTTCTTCCCCCCGTTTTTGGCTGTTACAAATAAAGCTGTTGTGAATACTCACGTACAAGTCTTTGGACAGCTGTTTTCGTTTCTCTCTGGTAAATACCTAGGAATGGAATAGTTGGATTATAGGTTAGGCATATGTTTTGTAAAAGATGGCCAAATTGTTTTCAAAAGCAGTTGTGCCATTTTACCGTGTTCACCAATAGTGTGTGACGGTTTGTTACTCAGTATCCTTGCCATCACTTGGGAAGGTCAATGTTACGCCAGCCGGTGCAGTTGGAGGGTAGTGGTATCGCCTTGTGCTTTCAACATGCATTTCCTCATTACTGAAATTGAGCATCTCTTAATTTGCCTGTTTACCATCAAAGTATCTTTATTTGTTTGTTTGTTTGTTTATTTATTCATGAGAGACACAGAGAAAGAGAGAGGCAGAAACACAGGCAGAGGGAGAAGCAGGCTCCCTGCAGGGAGCCCGATGTGGGACTCGATCCCAGGACTTCAGGATCACGCTCTGAGCCAAAGGCTCAACCACTGAGCCACCCGGATGTCCCCAAAGTATCTTCTTTGGCAAAGTGTCTGTTTGGATATTTTGCCCGTTAAAAAGAATTAAGTTGGTTATTTTCTTACTGAGTTTTGATTATGTGTGTTTTAAAATATATTCTGCATGCAAATCCTTTTCAGATATATAATTTGCAAATATTTTCCTCTGGTCTATGTCATCTTCCCATCATTTCAATAGTGTCTTTTGCAGAGAAGATGTTTTATGTTTTTCTTAAATATTTTA